GTGTATTATGTGCTAACATTTGTTTTACAGTATCAGAGCTATATTAACAATTATATTCAAAGAGATACTCAAGACATAGATGAGTTCAAGGTAAAATGAAGCAAAGAAGAAGATATACTTTATTGTCAAAATGTAATTTTATATTTTCTTTGCTTAGAAATTTGTACAAGCCTTGATCACTTACACACATGCACACACATAGTGTTAGAACATACTAACACATGCTTAGTGTGTTGGTTAACAATAGAAATCCCCTTTGTTAGCCATTAGAGTTTATAGATATTAAGTGAGTCTTAAAATATTTTATTTATACCCCTTATCAATTAGAATCTAGAAAAACTCAAAAGATTAAAGTTGTAGGTCTCTTCAAGAGCTTTCCAACAAATCTTAAATCATCTCATTCTGATATCGGATGAGAAAGTTATAACCAAAATACTAAAAATAAAATTCCAGAATCTGAGTTTACAGTGTAGTCGACTACTATGCCTTGTAGTCAACTACTAAGCAATTTTCTGACTTCACAGAGTCTGTTTAGACTCAGTGTAGTCGACTACTATGACTTGTAGTTAACTACAGATGCAGTTTTTTTAGATTTTAGGTTTTAAATAAGTGATTGTTTATAGCCGTTTTGTGGACGTTAATTGAGTTTAAAATTATGTCATTTCAGAGGCTATAAATAGGTTTAAACATCAGAAAACAACAAAAACAAGCACCAAGTTTTGCACTTGTAAGATTCACATATTGTGCAAATTAACTCTCTAAACTTTTAGTTTTTTGATCTGTTTTTCCATAAAAGAGAGTTTCTGATATTGCCTTTATTCCTATCATTCTTAGAGCTTGTTTAGGCAATATTCGGAGTGTTAAAAAGATTAATAAGCCACTGTTACACGTTCACATCCACATCAAGGCTTATAGGATTGGAATTGTACATTGATTCAAGGAAGGTTCTCTCAGGTTTGAGAGGGTTGATCTCTTGGTCTAGAGATCGGTGTGACGATTGGCATGGTCTTGTCAATTAGGTTGCAATTTGCATGGTCTTACAAATTGGTCAGGTTTGCTTTTGATTTTGTAAGGTTTCAAAATAATAGTGGAAACTCTCAAGCGGGATTTGTTTGGGGACTGGATGTACACCGGGGAGGTGGAACCAGTATACATACTTATGTTTGTGATGTTCATTTTCTGAGATTGTCATTCTTTCTTTATAATTTATAATCTACTTTGCAAACTCACCCTCTAGTGTTGAAGTGTAAAGCTTCCGCAGATTTTTATAAGAGCGCACTCTATTCTTAAGGGTCATGATCCTACACTTGGTATACATAAGCAAAATCAGACCTTACAAAAGCTTGTATTCCTTGACACCACGCTTGAATCCTACAAATATGACCTTCCTAGCTCAATGTTCCAACTTATCTATTCTCACATGATAAAATACAGGGCACCCGAATACCTTGAGCTGGTCATAATCTCGCGCTAGCTCTCCCGACCACATCTCCATAGGCGTCTTTCCCTCAATCGCAGATGAAGACAGCCTATTAATGAGGTGGCTCGCATATGTAAGTGCCTCAGCCCAAAAGATCTTCTCCAAACCACTCTACGACAATAAGCATCGGATCTTCTCCAGTAAAGACCGATTCAACCTTTCTACCATCCCATTTTTCTGCGGTGTATGACTAACCGTGAAGTGCCTCTCTATGCCCTCGTCCCGACATAGCTGCAGAAAGGGGTCTGATGTGTACTCACCACCGTTGTCGGATCGCAATGTGTTGATCTTTCTCCCAGTCTGCAATTCTAATCTCTTCTTCCACTCCACAAACAAATCTAGGACTTCACTCTTCTTCGTCATGGTGTACACCCAACAACACCTAGAATAGTCATCTACAAAAATGACGAACTAATGTCGACCACCAAGTGATGTAGTCTTGGTGGGACCCCAAACGTCTGTGTGCATGTAGTCCAGGATGCCCCTCGTCTGATGAATGGCAGTCCCGAATTTCACCTTTGTCTTCTTGCCAAGAACACAATGCTCACAGAACTCAATCTTTCCACTCTTGGCTCCCTTCAATAGCCCCTGCTTGCACAATGCCTGCAGTGACTTTTCACCTGTGTGCCCCAACCTATAGTGTCAAAGTCTGCTCATGTTCGCTTCTAAAATAGCCGAAGCAACCTGGCCAATCTCGGTGCTTCCCTTCAGATAATACAAATTTCGATTGCGAACTCCCTTCATCACCACCAATGATCCCTTAGTAACCTTCGCTACAGCGTTTTCGAAAGTCACCTTGAATCCCTTCGCCTCCAAAGCTCCAACTGAGATGAGATTTTTCTTCAGTTGAGGAACAAATCTCACCTCCTTCAACTCACGGACTACTCCATCGTGCGTCCTAATCCGTATGGTACCTATCCCACAAACGTCACAGGATTGATCATTTCCTATGACAACAACACCCCCATCGAGCTTCTCAAAAGATGCAAACCAATCTCGCCTAGGGGTCACATGATAGGTAGCATCGAAATCAAGCATCCAATCTGATGCATCCACATGGTTCACCTCTGGAGTAATCAGTAGAGAAAAGCACGAATCATCGGAATCATCGCCTTTTGCAACGTTCACTTCATTGGCCTTCGGGCCCTTTTTCTTACCATTCTCCTTCTCCTTGAGCTTCGGGCAATCTCTCTTCCAATGTCCCTGCTCCTTGCAGAATGCACATTGGTTCTTTGCTAATTGGTGGCGGCTTCTTGACTTTGACCTCCCTCTATTACCACCTTTCGGATATGGGCTTCTACCTCTCGTCGACAAGGTCTCGCCTAAAGTGCTAGCACGGGAAGTCTTCTTGTCCTTCCTCCTCAAATCGTAATTGATCAATGCATTAGTCACTTCACTATAGCTGATAGAAGATCTTCCGTTCAACAAAGTGAGCACGAAGGTATCATACTCCTCATCCGGTAAGGAGCCCAACAAAATAATCGTCTTGTACTTATTCGATATCTTCTCATCAACATTCGCCAAGTCCGACAACAACTTAGTATAGTTGTTCACATGAGCCGCTAGCGAGGTGCCTCTGGACATCTGAAATCTGAAGAGTGTTCGCAGCAAGTGCAACATGTTCTCAACACTCTTCGTGAGATACTTGTTGTTGAGAATTTCCCACATCTTCATTGCAGACGTCACCCCAATCACATCATACTTCAGCTCCTGTTCCAAACAGGACCTGATCACCCCACAAGTGTTCCTATTCATCTTCTCCCATACCGTCTCTTCATATTTAGGTGGTCTCTCGTGAACCATGATGGTCTCTTCCAAATTTTGAGCATTGAGCGCATCCTATACGTCGCTCAACTACAAACCAAAGTTGATTTTTCCATCATACTTCACCACACTAATCTTAGTGTTCTGAAAACTAACTTGTATTGTACTTGCCATCGACTTGCTGCTTTCACATTCTTCTCCCATTGTAAACTAACTCCAAATTGTAGAGAAAGAACAAATTTGATAGAAAATTAGGAACCACCCAACTGAACCCTATGTAGAGAAAGAACAAATTTGATAGAAAATTAGGAACCACCCAACTGAACCCTAGATCGGATTCCAAATAGATCTCCTATCCACACGAGGAAAGCGAAATCTCTAACGGTAACTCCTAATGCTATCTCCACCGAAACCTAGAACTCCAAGAACCAAACTTCACACAAAAATCTTCCTCCACCAAACTCCAAAACCCTAGATCTAAAATCTGGGCTCTGATACCACTAATCTTCCTCCACCAAACTCCAAAACCCTAGATCTAAAATCTGGGCTCTGATACCACTTGTTACGCGCAGCGAAAATTTCAGCAGCACTTCGGCAGCACAACAAGAGAGTCAGATCGCAATAAGAATTCATGTCTCACCAAGGAAACAAGAATCTGAAGCGAATATCTCAACAAAATAAGATATCGGCTCTTCCTCTCATCAGTTCTAGGACTGAGCCGTCGAGTGATCCTAAAAACTATTACAAATCACACAAAAGCGATACAACCAATTTTTACGTGGTTCGGCAAATTGCCTACGTCCACGGGGTAAGGAGGGGGAGATCTACTAATAGAGGGAGATAATACAACTAGGATTTACAATCACTCACAACCTAAACCCTCAAACAAACTCTCAAATCCCTCATACAAATATCTCTCACAAAAGTACAAAAGCCTGCACAAAAAAAAAAACAACTCTTGAGTTCTGTGTTTTTCTTTTGCAGCTGCCGCCTCAAAATTTTCCTTTGCTTTTTCGCTTTTGTTTCACAGCCGCACAAAAAAGTTCCGTGCCCTCTCTGCTCAACCCTCTTGTGCACAAAAACCTAGGGAAAAAATCCCGTACTTATTTATATAAGTGAAGTCGGGTGGGCCTTGGTTATTCGTTTTCATGAAAACGAATTCTCACGTAGCCGACTTTCACGTGGGTGTTGGCCCCCACAATCACACTACTAGGACCTGAACTTTACCAAAAATAAAAATAACAAAACTCTCTTTAAAAGACTCTCTATGATTAGGAAAGCAAATCGGTCAAATTTATAATAAAACCGGATTTGTTTTCTAATCAAAACAGACTCCTAAAATATTTCCTAAAATAATAAAAAAAACTAACAAAAACTCAGAGGTATCTCAATTCGAAGGGCACTTCGTGAAATAGACGGCGACAAACCAAACAACGATGGGTTTGGTTAACTCCGTCTCGAAAAAATACGCAATTTGCCTACGTGATTCGTCCAATTCTGACGTACGGTTTAAGAGATTTGACCCGTTCTTCGTTGCAAATTATTTTCTTCTGTCGGGCCCGTGTTTGGGCATTTGACGGTCATGTTTCCCCATGAATATATCCGCAATGCGTTCTACATCAAATTGCTCTAATACCATCTTAAAGCCTCTCCAATCATTGTATTAAAATTCTGAAGTTGAGGGTTAATATTATTATATTCTACCATGTGTGATTGAGCAAGTGGGTAGACGGAATCGTGTGTGTGTGGGTGGTGGAGATGCTCACGAGAAGTATAAAAGGGTATATGTAACGTATAATCTTCAAGCATAAGCTGTGAGTGCATTAGCAAATACAAAAAGGTTATATATATCCATGGAGAGTGAAAAGAGTGAGTGCATCAGCAATTTCTCCTCCAACAAGAAAGGAGGAAGGTGGTCGCTTGCCGGAGCCACCGTTTTAGTCACCGGAGGCTCAAGTGGCATCGGGTATATATCGCTGGCTTATTTTTCTTTTATTTTCTTTTATTTCCCCCTTTTTTTTGGATAAATTTTGGAGCATAGCTTTCCCGTGTTTCATTAAAACGAAGTTCACGGAACAATCGCCACCCCAGAATGGAGGGATGTCAAATTATATCGCTGATTCTTAATTACCATACACGAAAGTAACTTTATACCAAGAGGTATACAAGAAGAACACAAAATTAATTAAATCATTCTACTAATTAAAGGACGTGTTAATTTAATGAAAGTACGTTTTTTCCATCTTACTTTGTTACCAGGCTGATGAAGGTCCCTAACCAGTACACTGAAGATGCAAAGCTGTATATAGTGAATGTCATAACTATAGGCCCAAATCTGGACCCACGCAATGGCACCAATTTTTTCAAAGTCCTCTTCGAATTTATATATGATTGATAAAAATTAAATCTGGATTGTTCTGATACTCACAACAAAATTACATCAAAATCCCTACAAGTACACAGAAACTATGACATAAAGGTAAGGTTTGATGGAAAATTCCGTCTAGGAAACTATGACATTAAGGTAAGGTTTGATGCTATTTTAGACGAAAATTCGCCTGAATATTAATGCCCACAAATAATTTTAAAAATAACTATAAAAATCTGTCTAGAATACTATTCTAGACGGAAATTCTGTCTAGGATGAAAATTTTCTAGACGGATACTTTCCGTCTAGAATGCTTACATTCTAGACGAAAAAATTCTGTCTAGGATATGTTGGACCCTAGAGAGGGGTTATTAGGGTCAAGAGGTTCTAATATGCAATAAAAATCAAACACAAGCAAACCACAAAACAATAATGCAATTTAAAGTAAAAGAGATAGGGTTAGGAATCGTTATCCTTGACGCGCGATGTGTTAACGAGGTTCGGCCCGCTGACCTACGTCCCCGCTCCCCACTCTCGAGGAGAAATCCACTACACACCCGGTTTGGAAGCCGGAACTTCGTCTACACAGCGATCCCACACGATCTTTCTCACTACACAGTTTGATCTCAACAGATCACACTCCCTCACAGTTGATCTACACAAGATCTCACTCACACAGCAGAAGAAAAGATGCAAGACTCTCTCTTTACACAGCCCCTATAGCAAAGAGAAAGAGTACTAAAGCTGGGAAGTGAATCACACTTAAAAACAGAGAGAAAACACAGAAACCAGACTTTGAAAATTTTTCTCAGGAAACAGCAGATTCTCTGGTTTTTGCAAAACGTTAGGGCTAAGGGAGAAGAATAAGTCTGGGGTTTTTATAGAAGAGATTAAATCAATTTAAAACAAAACCCAATCTTCCCAAATAGGATAATAATCTCCTTTTCAGACCCTTATCTCAGACTGTGCCAAACACAGTTAAGTGTAAGCGCAGTTTACTAGGCAAATGACCGTTTGAAAAAAAGTCGCGGTTGACTGAAGGGAATTTCGGTCGTCCGAAATAATCCTTCGGTCGACCGAAAAATTTAGTCGGTCGACCGACCGAAAAACCGGTCGACCGCCAGCCGTTTTGAAAACATAGAAAACAAGCAGAGCCATCATCGGTCGACCGACGCGGTCGACCGATATGAAAATCGAAATTTTGGTCGACCACACCGGTCGACCGACGACCTCTCTGGAAAATACTGACAAATGACTATGGGAGCGGTCGACCGGACCGGTCGACCACTTTCAGATATTTTGCAGAAAATAGATTTTGACCCAACTTGAAATATTTGCAAAATATTTATTTGACCTCTGAAAATTCTGAAACTTTGTAAAATATTTTTAATATTAAAAACAAACTGCTTGAAAAAAGAATTTTGCAGATAGGTCCTCATACTTGTGAAAAATAGTATTTTGTGAAAAACGCTTAAAAACATAAGTATGAAAACGTGTGTGTGATTCCCAATAGCTTCAAGTAAAATCAGTAACTCTTTGCCTACATTCTAGCACTAGAGAGAAAATAAAAACTAGCTAAAATCCTCACATAGAATACAGTTCTTGAGTCTTGATAGCTTTAAGTTTGATGAAGCTTCTGTATGAATTTGTTGCTCTTGAATTAACATTGCTTCATCATTATGCCTCCTCCTCCTTTGGATATCATCGTTGTAGCATATATTCCATCCATCCTCCATTAATGGCACTAACGAGCTTGATAAATGAATTTACTACATTTACACTCAATAAGCCATTAGTACCGATAATGGTGGTTGTAAAAACATCATCAAAACATAAGGGCTAACAGGATAATCTGTCTAGAATACGCAGTTTTCTACTAGTGTATGGTAATAATTTTATATTTTCACACAGACCAAACCCACACGTTGACACGAATGAATGTGTTGAGAATTTGCTAAAAGTATGTGAATCCTTGAAAATGTGTAACATTAAATTGTTAAATAAATTTTCTTTAAGCCCCTCTTATTAAGAGCCTAAAAAAACATCCAACATATGTTGTGTTGAAGATTTGCTACTGATCTCATGCCTGCCTGCTGTCATGAATAGGCACGCGATAGTTGAAGAGTTGGTTGCTTTTGGGGCAACTGTGCATACATGTTCAAGTAATGAAGAAAAGCTTAATAAGTGTTTGCGAAGGTGGGAGAGCTTGAAACTCCCAATCACAGGATCAGTTTGTGATGTAAGTTCTCGACAAGAACGAGAGAAACTGATGGAAAAGGTTTCTTCCTTGTTCAACGGAAAGCTTGACATACTTGTAAGCTAACTATCTGCACACTGCTTAATTAATTCCATTAATTTATAGCTGGAGTAGTTAATTACAGTACGCCTCCATAGTTATTTTTGATTTATTTTTTAAAGCCCGATATATATGGCATTTGACTGCTTTATTATATATAGCAGTTCAAATAGATTTTAACATGTTAACTATTTTCTTTATAGCAACTTTAATTAGGTATTTTAATGAAATTGGTGTAAAAAGTATGAGACCAATTTTGTTTTAAAAAACATTATTAGTGGCCATGTCCTCATAACAAAAGGATTAATGTATATGCAATTAACTCTTGTGAAAGGACCCTTTCATCGCATTAAAACTCTAATTTGGGTAAGGGTTATAATTTTAAGTTTTTTTTCTAACTATGGTTTAAATTAGTGGTCAGTAAGATTTGAACCTTCTAATTCCTCTGGTACCAAGACCTTCTATATATATAGTCTACTATAACAAAACTCCGAAGTTGTGATGCAAATTAAAGCTATAGTTTTGTCAACCCTGTCAATGTTATTACTTTCTAATTACCTATTTCATTTTGGTTTGGTGTGTGTGTAGATTAATAACGCAGGTAGGGCCCTCTTCAAGTCATCCGTGGATGTGACCACAGAAGATTACTCATTAATAATGGCAACAAACTTAGAGGCTTGTTTCCATTTAAGCCAATTAGCTCATCCACTCCTCAAAGCCTCAGGTGCAGGCAATATCGTTTTTAACGCATCAATTGCAGGAACTATAGCCCTTGCTAATTTGTCACTGTATTCAGCAACTAAAGGTGAGCCTCTTCTTTTTTTTTTTTTAATTTTTATTGACAAGGGATTAACGTTGATTTAAGATGAAGAGATTGATGCAAATTAAGATACCCTTTTGTTGGTTGATATTAATTAAACTTGTCGTATACTTTTTTACCAAGGAGCATTAGTTCAGCTTACCAAGAGCTTGGCGTGCGAATGGGCAAAAGATAATATCCGAACAAATTGTATTGGACCGGGAGTCATTGATACGCCACTAGTAGAAAGGGTGAGCTCCATAATTTGTTCTGTTTTATTTATTTATAGTCTTTTATTTCCTTTTTTTTTAATCTGTTAGTTGGATACAATTTGCGGTTATTTTCAAAATTAATTTGCAAAAAGAGAGAAAACTAACCTTTGGAAATGGGCTACCTTCTAATTGCAAGGTTTTTACTAAGTTTTTACTTAAGGGTAAACTTTAGATTTTGCTCAAGATTTTGCTCTCAATTAGTGTACATAACTAAGTTTCTCTTACTTTTTTATCTTCTCTTGTGTGTCGGCTAGTTAACATTTGTGATATACTCTCGAATAAAAATAATTCAACATATTTTCCTATAAAATAAGGGTTAATTGCACATATACCCCATGTATTATTGCTGTTTTGAACTTACCACTATCGTAGCTTCATTGCTGCAGAAAGACCCCTTATATTTTTCTTTTCTTTTCTTCTTTTGCCTTTTTATTCTGAGATGGACCCAATAATTTCACCGAGGGACAATATTTCTCAAAAATTTACCCAGGGTAAAAGAAGCAGAAAATTTTAATCCAGTGAATCTATATTTCCTACATGTATATATAGTGAGTTCAAAACCGTGACAATACAGGGGATCTATGCGCAATTGACCCATAAAACAATGATATCCGGTGAAATTTCCTTTTAATTACGAGTAAGGTCTTATAATTAACTCGCACCTTAAGCAATTTTGGTATTTCTTTTTATATATGTCAGTATGAAGAATTCAAGTCAAGGGAAGCATCAAGAACTCCTCTTGGACGCAATGGAGAGCCTGAGGAAGTGGCGGCTCTAGCGGCATTTCTATGTATGCCTGCTGCTTCTTACATCAGTGGCCAAATCATATTTGTTGATGGAGCCAGGACTGTTAACGGCTGAACAAAATTAATATCAATTTCTATTAATTGTGCAACTATGTCATTCAATTTTTTTTTCTGTGAAATTAAATGAGCCACGATGGCCATTCGAGAAAATTATATCCTTTATATATGCAATGTGTATTTTCTTTCATTTGAAGTAGATTGTGTTTGTACTTGGTATTTGGCAAAAGATAGTGATCAACCTCGTGTATGTTGCTTCATTTCAAGATATTATCTTCAATTATATACCACCATAATATGTAAGGGATTTTTTGCATATATACCCCTCGGATCTTCAATATTTACAAACTTACCCTTCTAATCTTGATATTTGTAAAATCACCCGCCGAAACTAGAAAATTGGGTCTTCTATCTCTTCAACTTAAAAATGTTGGTTTTTAACAATGTAGTGTCAAAATTTCCAATAATTTTTAGTAGGTTTGCAACCATTTCTCTTTTAACTTTCATTGTTAAATGGAATGGGTAGGGAAAAAATCAATATGAGAGAACGATGGGATAATTTTACAAATACTAAGATTTGAGAATAATTTTGCAAATATGAAAAATCTGAGGTGTATATATATAAAAACTGTGGGGTCCTTGATAAATTAGATCCACCTAAGAGATGATGTCTAGGCCCAAGATTTCTTTTCCTCAAACTACTACGCCTAAAGCTGTGGAGTCCATGATAAAGTGGATCCAACTAAAGTTGCAGATCGTATAACTATATTAAGGAATCATCAATTAGTTGAACTTTATTCTCATGTCAGATACAACAATGGAGTTTTGCACCGGGCAGAAAGACATTCAATGATGATGCCAAGCGTTTATGTTGGTTAGCTTACTTTGTGAATTGATCTATGGAAAAATTGCTTCTGGCACGCAATTTCCTTTTAAGGATTCTGCACATCCTCAAGACTTTTTCAACACTCCCAAAACCCCCAAAAGCAAATCCACAATTCTCTGAGCCCCCTAAACACAAAACCCAAGAGTTTAAAACATGTAAAGACTATAATACCATTTCTCTCTCTTTTTTTTTCATGATGTCACTGTGATGATTTGAAATAGGTTTTGGGGGGAAAAAATTCTAGTTCCCTCTAAAATTTTCCAACAACGTCGACATCGTCGATGAAACTTTCCCGGCGTTCATTCATGAGGTGACGAAAACTACGATCTAGAAGACGGTGATGACGAGTTATGATGGATCCAGCATCACCGTTCTGAAGAAAAAAGCGGGAACTCCGGCAACCTCAGTGTAATTTTTTCCCTTTTTAACTTGTACTTGAATCTGAGTGCTATATTTTTTGTTATTTTATATATTGTTATAATTTTTTTGAAATCGATGACTTGATATTAAAGTAGAGTCTGTAAATTTATATATTGTTGTTATTTCACTGTAATAAGTTTGTTGTTAATGTTACAAGTTAGTTGTGAAGAAAGGTTACGTGTTGGTTTTAAAAGTTACGAGTTGGCTGTGAAGTTTACGAGTTGGTTTGAAGGTTATGAGTTGGTTGTCATGATTACGTGTTGGTTGTGAAGGTTATGAGTTTGTTGTGAAGGTTACGAGTTGTTTGTGAAGATTACGAGTTGGTTTTGAAGCTCGGTAAGGAGTTGGTTGTGAATATTACGACTTAGTTGTGAATGTTAGTTAACAACGATCACAATCAATTCATTGTCGAGGTTCTCAAAATCAACGTGTAACCTTAACAACCAACTTGTAACATTCACAACTAACTCCTAACATTGACAATCGACTCGTAACATTCACAACCAACTCGTAACCTTCAAAACCAACTCGTAACCTTCCTTCACAACTAACTCATAACCTTAACAAAAAATTCATTACAGTGTAATAACAACAATATATGAATTTACAGACTCTACTTTAATCTCAAGTCATCGATTTCAAAAAAAATTATAACAATATATAAAATAATAATAATAATCGCACTCAGACTCAAGTACAAGTTTAAAAAGGGAAAAATTACACCAGGAGTCGTCGGAGTTCCCGCATTTTTCTTCGGAAAGGCGACGCTGAATCCATCGCAACTCGTCATCACCATCCTCAAGATTGTAGTTTTCTTCGCCTCATGAACGAACATGGGAAAGTTTCATCGCTGATCGACGCTGTTGAAAAATTTTGGAGGGAACTAGAATTTTTTCCCCAAAACTCATTTCAAATCATCACAGTGACATCATAAGAGAGAGAGAGAGAGAGAGAGAGAGAGAGAGAGAGAGAGAGAGTATTATGGTCTTTACATGTCTTAAACTCTTGGATTTTATGTTTTGGGGGCTCAGAGAATTGTGGCATTGTTTTTGGGGGTTTTGGGAGTGTTGAAAAGGTCTTGAGGGTGGGCAGAATACTTGTAAGGAAATTGGGAGCCATAAGCTGTTGGATAGCAGGTTCCTAATATATTTCCTAATTTGTTTTGGTAACATGTTATTGGGATTCCTAATCTGTTTTGGTAACAAGATTCCAAATTTGTTTTGGTAACATGTTATTAGGATTCCTAATCTGTTTTGTTTTTTGTTTTAGAATTCCTAGTATGTTTTTGGTTTTAGGATTTCTATATATATGGAACGGTTTAGAAAAGAGAGAATTAGAGAGAAAAAAGAGTTGAAAAGGGGTTTGTTTTGTGCACAAAAAAGAGAGTTTTCTGAGCAATTTGGTTAGGGTTTTGTTTGAGAGTTTTGGGAGGTTTGTTTGAGAGATTTTGAGTGAATTTGTAATCTTTATTTGTACTCTTCTTCTCTATTAGTGAAAACTCATCCCTTTCTTGCCCTGTGGACGTAGGCAAATTACCGAACCATGTAAAATTCGTTTGTTTATATTTATGATATTATTTTGATTGTGTTTGGCCTTCCCTCTCAGCATTTGTGTTAGTCCTCAAAACCCCAACAAGTGGTATCAGAGCAAGGCTACGCTTAGGATTAGGTGGAGGAATAGATCGTTTTGGAAGCTAGCCTAGGATTTCAGTTGGTGATAAGGGTGGGATTTTTACTGTTGTGGATCTTATCTTCTATCGTGTCAGGTTGAGATCTTTCGGAGGCTCTTGTTAGGATTTCAGTTAGAGGTAAAAATCCACCTTTCTCTCAGTTTGGATCTAGTTTCTTTCAGTTTGTTTCGCATTAGTTTGTTGGTGTTTTAAGGAAGATGGCTGGGAAAGAATGTGTTAAGAGTGGTACTTCTGGTGTGAAGACTATTCAAAGGTTGAATATCTACTCTATGAAGATAGATGTGGAGAAGTTTAATGACACGAACAACTTTGGCTTATGGAGATGTAAAGTTTTGGATGCGCTGAACGCGTAAAATTTGGAAGATACTTTAGAGTTGAACGGTAAGCCGGATGACATTGAAGAGAAGGTTTTAAAGAAGATGAATCGGATGGCGTGTGGCGTGATTAGGTCTTATTTAACGCAGGTGTTTGCGTCAAAAGTTGGTTTTGTCATGGAATTCATATATCTTCAGTCGATTACAATAAATTCAAAAAAAGAGATAGCCTTTTTATAAGACTCCTTTTACACAACAAAATGAAAATTACAACTCTTGGGAAACAAACGCAGGATCGTTGTTTGGATCGCTGCTTGCGTGGGATCTTTGCCTGTGCCGGGGGTGCGTTAGCCCGTGGACCGTCAAATCACAGATTCTGATTGAATCGTGAGGGGTTTATGATTCTGACTTCGTTTATCGAAGTGAGAACTTGAAACGATATCTTATCAAGGTAAGATAGTCATTCTTCTTGAAATCAAGTCAAAGCCTGAATATCAAGGAGTGGCCGTAAGCTCAAGAACTCTGCTCTCTCTCTCTGCTCTGGATTGCTCTGAAGTGCTCCAAAAATGATCCGCCTCTCTCAAAGAAATCACCTCGGGGGTATTTATAACCTCTGTATGAACAGTGCTCGCGAGACAGCGTTTGCTGTCTCGGCGGGCGAGACAGCGTTTGCTGTCTCGCTGGCCGAGACAGTGTTTGCTGTCTCGCCCAGCGAGACAGTAAATTTGCTGTCTCGCCCAGCGAGACAGTAAATACTGTCTGACAGTTTCTCGCTGTAACTGCCTGTTAGACCCTAGAGGGGGGGTGATTAGGGTCTTATGCTAATCTAATTCGATTAAATGCTAATTAAAATTAATTAACAAGTTGTATTCTTGCAAGATAGATATACAAAGAGTTAAGTGCAAGAATATGCAATATACACAAGGTGATATATCCTAGCAAAGAGGTATACTATATGATATATGCAAGGATATATAAACTAACACAAGGGTAAACAATATGAACTAGATAGTGGATCATATAAATAATTCATTGTTCATATTGCGTATCCTAGCTTACATATCTTGTTGTATTTCATACTTGCTAGGATAACTTATTAATTAATTTTAATTGGCATTTAATCGGATTAGATTAGCATAAGACCCTAATCACCCCCCCTCTAGGGTCTAACATAAAGAACCAAAATAATAAAATCCTATTTTAGCCCCTGATTTGAGAGACTAATACAAATAACTAAAGATTTAAGGGACTAATATCAGAAACCTCCTAATAAAATACATGCTATATTAATATTATTGTACCAAATTAAATAATATAATAAAATTAACATAATATTACTAATTTGTAATACTAAATCTTAAATTATTTTACCTTAAAATAAAAAATTAAATAATCTAATATCTTACATATATGATCGATACTATAAAAATATATATTATATAATATATTTATTTAATAATATATATTATATTATAATGGCATATTATTAATATAATATATTAGGACATGTTTAATATAATAAAACATATTGTAATTAATTATAATATAAAATACTAAATTACTTTTATATTAAAGTTACTACAACATATTAATTTTTTTTAATATAATATGATATATCACAATTTATTTAAGTGAAAAAATAATTAATTTACTATATTACATTCATATGATCTATTATATTAATAAAAACAATATAATGTAAAATATTTTTTTGGTAAACATAATATAAATATAGAAATAACTATAATATATTATATAATAATATATTTAATAATAAAATTATAAATACTCAAAATAATAACAATAATACCTTTACTTTATTTAATATAATACATAATATATTATATAGTAAACTAATTTATTATTGATAAAAATATTTTGTAATAAATATTAATATAGTAATAAGAAATAATAATATTATTTTGTAAAATAATAATATTCAAAACTATA